GCATATTCAAACAGACGATATACATATATCCATATCATGCTTTTATACAACATACAAGTATAAATTAAATTAATAAGCTCCCCTTACCCGGATCAGTGAGTACAACGTCCTAAGAGTCCGATTTTGACTTGTCCAACTATGGCTTTTCTACACTCAACGGTTTTTCTTATGTTCTTCACTAAATCAAACCAAAAGAAACGTAGGAGAATTTAGCTCATAACCTTGCATGCAACTGAATCTGGGTTCGCAGGAATTCCAGAAACGAGCGTCTAAGTTGAGAAACTTACCGGTTACAGAATCGGAAGTGATTCGGTCCAAAATGAAGCTCATAGCGTAGGGAGCGTTCCTACGGTTCTGAATGTTGAACGGAGAAGAAATGGATGAGTAACAGTAGAGAGAAGTTGAAGACTTTCTAGAGAGAAGGTAGAGAAAATGAAGAGTTGAGTTCTGAGGAAGAAGGAGAGTGAGTACAGGTGAGTGGGAGAGTTTTTCGAAAATCCAGTTTTGTTCAATCCATGTCCGTTTGGACGAACGTCTCCTCTGCCGACACCTGTACACCCACTTCTGACTTTGGAAACTTCTAACGTGACAATTGGCACTCGTGCATGCAGTGCTTAGTGGATTTTTAATGGCTCTGAACCAGTGACGTGGTTGCATTAATTTGATGTGACAGAGATTTTCAGTGTTAATTATCTAGGGCCTCACATAAGCGATTTAGAAAATAATGTTAACAAAATTGTTAAATTTTTTTATTGTTATATTTATTTAAATTAAATCGATGCATCTAACTTACCAAAAACTATAATCACGATGCAACTATTTTCATTTGATAACCTAAACATTTATTGCAAAAACACAAGAAAACAAAGACGAGAAGATCCCAGCAAAACTTACAAAGAAACATGGAAGAATCTCGATCATGAAAGACTATTGTAGGTAAGATCGAGGACATATACGCTGGCAGCAACATCCTAATAAAGATGATAATAAATAACTAATTAAGAAAATGTGAAATTATTAAATCACTGGTCAGCATACCTTTAATTAAACATCATATTAAATGTTATTTTGCGTGTTAGGAGATGTGAACAAACACAACAATCAAAACCAGATATTCTATTATTACTATATGAAAACGCGTATATTATGTATTCAAAATTTTTAGAAACTTTGAAAATTTATTTCAATTATTAAATGTCGTAATTAAAAAATTTACAATCTGTTCATTTTATTTAAGATATGCTGGAAAATAAAGGTGTAATAAAATTAGTGGTTGATGTATGAGATATTGAGAAATAGTGGTTAAAGACAAGTTTGTATATCCATATTCTTTATTATTTTAGACTTTTAGAATATAAAATATATATATTAGAAACAAACATTTTAAATCAAATACATAGGAAAAGTGAAGTGGTTAACTTAGATGAGTATTGGTGAAGTGGGAAATTCAGTAGCGATTCAAATAAAGTATACAGGAGATTGCAAATGAACTAAATCGTCATAACTTATCGGTATATAACCTAACAATTTTCCTAAAACACTATTTAATGAGAGAATGATTGATAAAAAAAAACAAGTAACTAACCAAATGCATAATAAATTATACCAACTAAATGACTTGAAAAATAAATTCAAAATAGCTTAATCTTATAAGATTACGTGCATTACTCAAGTCTAATTAGAAAAATATCATATGACATATAAAAAAACAATTATCGTTAAAATTAAACAAATAAATAAATATCGATTTTAGAAGAGAAAAAGAACCATGTTTATTGAGTAGTGCCAATAAATCATTGTTAAATTGACGTCTAACCGTGAAAAGGTGGTGCTCAACACCAAAGAATAGTGAGTCAATATTCAAACGGTGTCCAATATTAAAAAATATTACTTAGAAATAGAATTATATAGATTTGTTCTTCGTAGTTTTTTGGAACCCAACACCCAATTATGGTGAGGGGCTCCCAACAATGAAAATATCATCTTCAAAACCAAAGCTTACATGGAATGACCTCAAACTCATGCATTTGAAAACCAACTCGCAAAACATACCTTTTATAACATAAAGTCATGTGATCAAGACCCAAAAATATCAACAACAATAATAAATAAGGTCAGTTTACTTACCTTACCTAATTAAAATTGTCCAAAATAGTTTTAGACAATCAAAACACCTTTAACTCCATAAAATGTTTTGTTAAAAAAAAAATCAATCTTATGATTATTGATCGAACTCATAAATTATTAAAAAGACAAATGCAAGAAAAAGGTTCACATAAAAAAACAAAAATAGACAAAAATAAAATAAACTTAACTTATCTAAATTGAGAAATTGATCGATTTAAATTAACTTAACTTATCTAAATTAAAGTTGATTGATTTAAATTAAAGATACCGTTATTGATTCTTAAATAAGACAAATAAATGAATAAGAAAATAAAAAAAAACTCGTAGAAAAATAATTTCTGAAAGAGGTTATGTATTTTAAAATAATAAATTTATTTTAAAAACTTCTTATTTATGTAAATTTTTTAATATTAAAATAATTAATCTTATTATTTTTAAATTATCTTTAATTTTAAAATATTATTTTCTAGATTTTATATTTATAATAAATAAATATTTTTCTACGATTCTTTTAATGATATTTTAATGTTACACTATAAAATTTTCCCGTGCAAAATATCAATATATACAAAATAAAGAAATTAAGAGTATCATCTCTTTTGATTATTTTTTATTAAATAAAAAATTCATTTTATGTGTATTATATCAATTTCTTTCATGTTGTACCTAACTGTCAAAACATTTCTTGCATGTTGTAACTAGTTTGGCTGGTATCTTTCCATGTTTTCCGAACATTTCTACGAAGTGTAACAAAAAATTCCATTTACTTTTTTTTTTCTCAATTACCTGCCTTATTTTCAATGTTGATTTTTTTATAAAATATAACATTAAAGAAATACGAGTCAAATATAAAAAAAATTTCAATCCCAAATGGTAAAAAGTGATGAATTTCCCTTTTATGTATATGATCAACGATCAACTTGTTAATGGTTACTTAATCTAAAACTTAGAGTTGATCCTTAAATATTTTTTATAGTTTTTTTAAAAAAATCTATTTTTTTTTCATCTTAAACTTCTTTTTTTCTAACTTTTCCTGTATATATGTAGATATATAAACTTTAGTTGTAAACAACTTATTTTAATCTATTATTTTAGTTTTGCTTATAAATAAAGTATTTTAAATAAAATATTGATATATAATAAAACATACTTCATACCAATATTATAAAGAAATTAATTAATATTCTATTATTATATATATATATATATATATATATATATATATAATTATTTTTAGGTACTATTATTTTAAGATACACTATGTGATGTTATATATATTTTTTTTATGTTTGACCAGAGTGTTACAAAAATGTTTAATATTTTAATTATTAAATAATATTCACTCTTTTATAAATATTTATACTTTACCCATAAAGATTTTGACTAGTATGCGAGAGTTTTTTGCTGGTGAATTTGTCCAATATAATACACATGTTAAAGAATATGGTTCAATAAGGTTCTTTAAGCTTTTCATTATGAATCAGTTTAAACATACGTCTAATTTGATCATATCCACATTTTATAGTTAAATTTCACCAGTTTGGTATCTTGGTTATTACTTGTCATGTAAGTATTATTCCAATAGGAACACAGGTCATGACCTAGGCTAATATTATAAATACAACTGATATTATCAAAGGACTATTCACTTTCTCATAAACACTTATACTAATTTTACACATAAATCCTAACTATATCTTACTAACAAGCGTAAGATAATCTTTTGTAGGTAGATCTTCTTCCTTTCAACAACTGACCATCAAACCTTAAGGCTAACGATATTGAACAATACGGTTGGAACTTTGCCTTTGTTCGTTAGTTCTCACCGACCTTAGAAAACAAGTCGGTCAAGATGCCCAACCTAGCTTCTACCTTGGCCACCTTTTACTTCCTTTGACAAGTGAATTCAAAAAAGAAGACAAAAAAAATGTGAGGACAAGTGCATAAAGGACTCAAAACAATGAGGATTGCTTGAAGTGAAACAACGTTATAGAAAAAAGTTAAAATCATTATCAACTCGCCCAAACTTGTCCAAAGCAACACTTGTCAAAGTCGGCCACATTAAAAAAGAAGTCCGCCTAAAGTTAGTCGTGTCAAAACATAGCTCTCTTAAAGTCGACCATATCAAAAGAGAAGCTCGCATAAAATTGGCCGCGTCAAAACGAAGTTTGCCTAAAATCAATAGCATTTAAGCACTGTTTAAGGCTAGCAACACTAAGCAAAGACTGTCTAAAGTCGACAACACCTAACAAAACCTACTTAATTAGTCGGTAAAAACCCTACTAAGAGATAACATGCAATCACATACACCAAATTAAACTCTCGTAAAGGGACTTATGTTCCTATTTGACTTAATATGCATATTAAGGAGCATGACCCAATAAGACTCTTCAAACCTCTTCATTATGAAACAACCTAAACCTATATGTAATTGGGTTATATTCACTAAATATCGACAAATTGGTATGTTGATTATTATTTACCATTATATTATTATTTATTAGACTATTATTATACTTTTCAAGTTAGTATTATTTCAATTGGAACATATGTTCATTGTCTATGCTAATTTTATAAATACAATTAGTATTGGAAACACTTATACTCATTTTACACATCAAAATTCTAATTTTCGTAATGACATTAACGTTAAATAGTTTTTGGTAAGTGAATCTCTTTTCTTTTAATAATAAGAGATTCAATTAACAACCATCAAGAACAATCATGCCACCGTTAGAATATCACTACTACCTATAACCAAATCGCGTTCAAATTCCAGTGAAACCAAATATAAAATTTAATTTTTTTAATAACTAAAGTTTACAAGTTAGTAATTAACAAGTGGAGTAAAAAAACAATTTTCTTTGTATATTTCTAATGCAATAAACACTTCTACCCATTATTTTATCTATTTATACAATTTTAACCTATATATTTGAGAAATAAAAATGGCAGTTGGAGAATATTAGAAGATGACGATCCTTGTAACAAAAATAGTGAATTGATCCGTTGACGAAAGTCACGATGTGCAGCACCACAGCCATAAATTATCAAACCAATCTGGATCCTCCCAACCACTTTAGGTGGTGTCAATAATGGTGGTTGCACAGACTTGGCATTATCACACAGAATACGCCACTCACCAATACACCACTTACCATTTCATTTTTCACCACTTTCTTTTTTCTACAACCATCGACTTCTTCTTTCAGACATTCTTAGAGGAATTTATTCATCTGCATTGTAAATATTTCCAGCTTAACTAAATATTTATGGTAATTAAATAAAGAAGAAAATTTACGTTTTAATGTATAAAATTAAGAGTATTTCGTTTTCTTTTTATCGTTTCGTTATGTGTTCTTAGAGAAACCATTATTGTTTCCCTCCCTTCGGTGCGTGACATCCGCTAATGACTAAGTACCGAAAATTGTCCATAAAGGGAACATCGAAAGTCAACAAAGAAACAGAAGAAAAAACGAAAGATAGTGTGAAAATAGAGAG